TAACTGCTTCTTCTGGTGACTGGAACCTTTGACCACGCAGTCTGTTTTTGATTTTCGGGAAAGTAAATAAATCGTTAGGACTTAGATCGGGACTATATGGAGGATGGTCCAATAATTCCACGTTTTCTTCCATTAAATATTGCCTTGTTTTTTGGGCTGTGCGCGAGCTTGCATTGTCTTGGTGGAGGATGATTCTTCTTTCGGTGTTGATTTTTCGAAGCTCGGTGATGGCTTTTGGCAAACAAATGGTGGTATACCAATCCGCAGTAACAATTCTTTGCTCATTAAGAGGAATTGTTGCAATATGACCCGCTTTTGACACAAATATCGCGACCATCTTTTTCGAAACACTTCGAGAACGGATGGCTTTTGTTGGCTTTTCTTCACCTTGGAACACCCAAACAGCCGACTGCCATTTATTTTCTGGTTCAAAACAGTAAATCCACTATTCATCACCACTAACAATGCTGTACACATTTTTTGAGTTTCCGGAATTGAAACGGTGAAGCGTTTTTTGACAGCAATTAACCCTGGCTGCTTTCTGCTCTTCAGTCAACAGGTGGGGTATCCAACGAGAAACTAATTTTCTCACTCCTAATTCTTCATGTAAAATTTTTTGAATTGAGGTCTTTGAGATCTTCAATGACGCCTCAATCTCGCGATATGTCACATGTCTATCTTCAATGATGAGTTTGCGCACAGCATCGACGTTTTCCTGGGTGACCGACGTTTTGGTGCACCCACCCTGGGATCGTCGCTAAGACTCACCTGTCCACGTTTGAATTCTCCATACCCACGGGAAATTGTCGACTGATGTGGCGCTACGTCAGACAGTAACTCAGCAAGGCATTCTTGTTGCGATAATTGTCTCTGAAAGTTGTAATAAATTATGGCGCGAAAATGTTCTCGGTTGAGTTCCATTTTTCTAACGACATGGTGACACTCAAAAATTCACTGTAGTGAGAACACTGCACGATTTGTTGTGAAACTTTGAATTTAAGTTTACTAAAGAGTGAGGTTAAGATTCAGTACTGGCGTTCGAGCCGCGCGGCCTACTATGTTTCTATATACAAAACTTAAAATACATCCCTCGTAATCTCTAAAACCTACATCAGAGATTTTGATGAATTTTTTTTAATTGGTTAGTCATTAATTATGCAATTCGCCTCAATCATCACACTGTTAATCTTAAAATAGGTATTCCAGGGTTTAACGTGCCTAGTTAAACCCTGGAACCCATTGGCTTCTGAATAAGCGATCAAAGTAGTCTCAGAGCAAGCAAAATTTCCCGCTTGCCCTCAGAGAGGTAATGTCAGAGTTAAGAAATATCTAGCAGTTGATAAATCTCACAGAAAGGAAACATAAAGGTACATATTCCCCTCTGGATCGCCAAGATGTACTCATCAGGACCAGAAAATTGACCAAACAAATTGAAATGTATGTTAAGTAGAAATTCTGGAATAAAAATTGAAATCTGCCTGTTTCAGTTTTTCCTGGGTACTCATAAATAAATCTAAGGTCATGCAGAGTCATTTCACAAATTACTCATTTCTGCGAGTTATCTGATATCTGGTAGGTCTTTCTAGATCAAAACTCTGAAATTTATTTATGAGTGAAAGGAGATTGTTAGCCTAAACGCCCGTCAGTTATACTCAAAAAGAAGCCAGTGGCATGCTTATTCCTTTTTGTTTATTTATTGAATATTCATTTAGCATTAGTGCGACATTGTTGATTTTATATAATCATTTTTCACACATTTTTTTAATCAATTTTCTGTAATGTTTAATTCTTGTCTGATAAAATTACATTGAGATGCATTTTGGGTATTCATAAAATGATTTCTTAATTTCACCTTGAATTTTTTTAAATGCAAAAACTGCTTAATATTATTCTATTTATTAAACTTAAATACTCACTTTTGGAAGAAACTAGATTAACTATACCTATTTCCTCTAATTGTCAAGTAGGCCGGAGGAACGTAATGTTGAAATCTCCAATTCATGTAATGTGCAGTACTATTCGTCATTTGTTTGTCTGGGTGGTCCGTAGGACCTTTGCCCATTAGTCACTGTCTAATGTACGTTAGTCGAATCTGTCAGTCCTGGTTGCGCAGAAACCAGACAAAGTCAAGGAAAAAGAGAAAGGGAAAGAGAAGAAAAAAGGAGAAGAGCAAAGAAAAACAGATATGGTTAGTTTAAGAGGAAACACCTAGGCTTTTTGACTTGGTACACGGATTAATTTTGAGGTGAACTAAACAAATTTTTTGATTCGGTTTTGTTAGAGTACAATTTTGAGTTTACTAAAGATTCACGCTAACTTTTGATTACAGTGCGAGCCGTGGCCTTGAATGTTTACGAACTTGCTCCACTGTGTAGTCCACTGAGTCACGCAACAGAGGGTTGCTGTGCAATTTCGCTTGACTATAGGTAACGTCTCTGCGCCTGAAGCTTGACATAATCCCTCAAGTAAGGAATGTCAAGGTCTCTGTCTAGTGTCTCATTTGAGACATACCGTGGAGCGTTGCAAATTGTCCGCAAAGTTCTGCTTTGCAGTACTTGAAGACTTTGCATGTGTGTCTTGGCAAGAAAACACCAAGCCACACATGCATAAGTAATGGCTGGTCTAATAATCATTTTATATAGTCGAACTTTGTTTATCAAACTCAATTTGGAGGATCTACATAAGAAAGGATATAGTTGCCGAAACGCAATTTGGAATTTTGTTTTTATGGATGCTGCATGTTTCTGCCAGGTCATGCCTTTATCAAGGGTGACACCGAGATACTTGGCAGAATTTGTCCATGGTACACGATTTCCGTCTACAGAAATCTCTGCTGGGGGGCCGCGACGTTTTTTGGTACAATAAATAGCCTGCGTTTTCGAATGATTAATTTTTATCAGCCACCGTTCCACCCACTCTAGAACTTCGTCCACCGCATTCTGCAACCCATCATGAACCAGATCACCAGTACACGACTGGTCGACAAGTGCAGTGTCGTCAGCATAGAGATAGACTTCACAGTTGCTGGGGGAAGGGACATCATGGATGAAAAGCGAATAAAGAATTGGTCCTAGGACCGAACCCTGAGGAACACCGGCCCATACTGGCCGTGTTGTTGACAAAACATTGTTAATTTTGATCCGAAACTTCCTTCCTTCAAGAAAGGATTTCAGTAATTTTAGATGCCAAAAAGGAAAACCCTTTGGGATTAGTTTATAGAGGAGGCCCGAAAAATTCTCAAGGTGACGATAAATCACCTTTTCGGCGAGCTTAGAAGGAGCTGACAGAAGACTTATGGGACGGTAATCCTGAGGAAATATCGAACCCACCTTCTTTGGAATCATGATGACCTCAGCAGTCTTCCACCCAGCAGGGAAGTACTGGATTTTGAGCGTCGCATTGATTATTGTCACCAAGTATGTCAGGGCTTTCGGCGAGATCAGCTTCAACGCCTTGTTGGTGATTTGATCCTCCCCAGGTACTTTATGCACCTTGAGGTCTTTAATATCACTTAGGAGCTCCGCTGGTGTGCAATGTGGAAACTTGGAGGGTTCCGCTAATGTGGTATGTGGAGCCTTAGACGAATCTTCTGAAGAAGAGTCATCTGAAGAGGACTCAGTGCCTCCGCTAACGCCGTTGGCCCTAAAATATCTCCTGACGGATCGTACGATGTGCCGTTCCTCGTCGAGGTCATTATCGAGGTCATAGTTGGGAGAGAACTGTTTTTCCATGGCATCAGCGAAAACCTCGACCTTATCCTCCGTTCTGAAGACTATGCCTTCAGGTTCGTGGATGTGTGGGAGTTGTTCCCGCTTTCCGTTTCTGAGTGACTTTGCGACCCTCCAGAGAGGAATACTTGAATCAAGCATTCCCGCCAGAAAGTCGCTCCATTGCTCGTTGCGGAGTTCGTGCAGTGCGTTTCTCAATTCATGGACAAGATTTGTAGCCCTTCTAATGTCATCAGGATGGTAATGTGCAGTCTGATGAACTCTATTTGTGAGCTGTGTGATTTATAATGACAGCTGTAAATCAATCATAAAATGCTATGTCATCGATTGTTCACTTAGCTTACTTAGGCCAATTGATGCTAAGTGTAAGTTTTCAATGTGTCTCTTTATTTTATTTTTGTTAATGCATTTGAGCTTTTCCCGTAATTGGGTTTTACCTGTAGGGAATATGAAATATAAAATATAAGATTCAATAGTTAATCTAATTAATATTCAATTATGTAAAATTTTCTAAATGGGATGGTAATAGATGATTTTCAATTTGAATATGACGTGTAAAATTCTTCTAATTCAACACTGCAGTTCTTCTAACATAGACTTCATCTTAGCATATTTTTTTTTATTTAAAATGATTCTCATAGCTTTATTTTGTAGAATTTGTATTTTGAAAATGTTTTCCTTTGCTGCTTTGCAAAATACTAGCGCGACCGCTTTGGTGAAGCAAAAAAGCATTATTGTATTGTCACCTGAATGTTTTGACATACATTTTTTTATTAGTATTCACTTTCAGTTTATTAACATTTAACTAATTCGTATTTTTTTAATATCACTATTTAACAGTTATAAAGCAGTACCAATGTATTGTAAGCAGATATTTGGATTTCGCAGCAGCTAAAAGCCAATAACGCCACCAATGGAATAATTTAGTTAAATTGAAAAACGCTTTTTAGCGACACTTCACCTTTTCATGCTTTGTATAAATAAAGCCGGATTATCATTATTATTAATTAAGTCGAATATTAGTTTAATCTCCTTGATCGATATCAAAGGAAACTTATGGAAGTTCTACCACCTCAAGGCTATAAAAGAAAAATAACCGTATTTAGAAAAAACAGAATTAAGAAAAACAAAAACGCTAGATTCACAGCTATAATCCAGAGTGCACTCCACCGCTAGGACTTTTTATAAAGATCAATACTGTTTAATACTTGAGGATTTATCCAAATAAAAAAAATTAGACAATGCATGTATATCTAGCAGTATAATTGCAATGTAAAGTTGTACAAGGAAGACAAAAGCTAGATAAAATATGAGATACAGTGTACAAACAATATTTACATTTTATTCTCATTTTGCTTTACATTGAATCGATCTTCCTACTTTCTGCCAATAACATTTATCTTCGAATTATCGGTCAGTGCATATGTATACTGTATCCTACAGCGTCAAAATAGTAGAGTTAACGAGAGTCACTCTTTTGTTTTTCATTCCATCCCTCATCCAGCAGTGTGACGTAAACTAACTAAGTAAGAACAGAAATGACTCCAAAAATACTAAGCATCACTTTTTGCTTCCGGTGCTCCTTCTTAGAAGTCTACTATCTGCAGAACGCTCACTATTCTTGCTCTTTCTGCTACTTTTACTTTCTCTAAATGTAAGATCTATTTCTTCGATAACGTTAATACCGTATTCATTGGGATCATCGGTGTACTTGCAGAAGTTTGTGAAGAACTCCAAATATTCCTCTTCTTCGTCTGTAAGCGGTCTTGTGACCATCATAGTTGTTTTTCGTCTGTCTATTACTTTTGATCGGTTCTTTACAGCTGAAAAACATCAGGGTAGCTATGAATCTCTAAAGGAATATGAAAAGTACAAGTCGTGATGAAGTGATAAATGGGAATATCCTGTGAAAGGCTAAACCAAAAGCTACAACAAGCATGGGCAAATGAGTCATGCTGAGCAAGAAGCTCAACAGGGATAACTTCAATGCTTATCTAAAACTTATCTGGTGGTTGTCATTATTTTGAATTTTGTACTTTGAAAAAGGTCATCGATGGGATGAAACGTCAGTAGACATCTGTAGTTTTATGGCGATCGGCAGAACATGGAGATTGATCAAGGGGAACTAAAAGCTTCAGAACCTGAACATACCGAGTTTCAAAGCAGAATCATGAAAAGAAGCGTATTGAATAAGCCTCAGAGATATACTTGCAAAAATTAACTACCAGGCACTTGGGTACCTACTTGGTTTATATTTCATGTTGAAGCTTGTTTTAGGTCCATGCTGTATACGTTATGGTATAGGTAATAAAGTTCGGCCAGTAACACTTACGTTTTCCTAATGGCTTCTCATATGGCGGGTCAAACGCCCTTTTTACATCGTTTGTCAGTCTTTGTAGTTCCGCGTGCTGCCGTGCAGCTTTCTCAGCTAATTTCATCGTCATCATTTGTTCGTTATAACACGAACCCTCCAGGCGGAGAATCATCTCACTTGGAACCTTGTGGAAGACAAAAATAATTAAATAGAAGTACGTGCCATAAGCCGGATCCCTCATCTAAGGTCAGCCCCTTCCTCTGAAACCCGATTATTGCCAAAACAAACATTGGTATTCGATCACCGCCTCTGCTGAGAATCAGAACATTCCCGAGAAACCGCACAACGTGGCAACGTCGCGATGGTCCAACCGGCCTCCCCTCTGTCTTCCTCCATCCGTGAAGAAGAGATGTAAATACACATTACGTATCTTCTCGATAATACTACTTGTTAAATCGAGTGTTGGATCGCATGTTAGTGTCCACAAAATAGAAGATCTAATACAGTCCACTGGTAGCATTTTAACAGGTTCTTTCTGCATGTCGCTACCACGACCAGGCATTCATGGTATGCTGGTTATTGGAAGTGCGCAAATTTGAATGTGGCGCGCCGTTTTAATTGGGCGTAAAATGGATTTGAATATATAATACGGCATAGTGACGTGTTACTTCTTGTTTATTCACGACCGTATTCTGAGAGTGGGAAAAGCTCTGCGCCATACTGAAATAATTATTCCATCGGGGACTTTGGTCGGACGGTTCCCGAAAAGGATAAAAAAATGTATCTGCTTTGAATTTAAAAAATGTACTTTTTTATAATAATTGTAAGATTTTTATTGCTGCAATATATTTATGAAATAAGTGGATAAATAAATCAATAATTAAATACAGCGCTTTTTAAGTGGGTCTACCTTCCAACTTATTTTTTGAACGGGTGAAGTTAGGAAGATGGAATTCGGGATGGTGAAATTGATCCAGGAATAGTATATTTTAATGTAGAAGCATTGAATAACGTATTCTACCTGAAGATATCTATTAAGTCTATTCCAACGTCGAAAACGGTATCTGAAAAATCCTAGCGCAGACCACAAAAAGTATGTATAAGGCTTTGAAAAAGAGATACAGTGTTTGGTTCTGCTACTAGCGTTAATATCTTGCAGTTCTCTTTTTGGGCGTCAGAGTAAAGTATATGGTTGACTACCATGGGGTAGAATTCGTTAGTCAATTATAAAAGTGACAGTTGATGATTCCACGATAGTGGCTGGGCGTTAACTTCAAATATTTCCGATAGAATGGAGGGTCAAGTCATTTTGAAGCTCTATATCAGTACTTAATAACCCTTGAGTTGATTTCAACATGGTGACATTGTTGGGCTGTCAAAGTTGATTGTTTTTGTACAGTGAATAGCTTATAAATCGACAGCTAATCATCAAAATGCCATAGTATGTTACGTCAACCTTTCTTTGGAAGGGTCTTTCGGAATGTGCAATAAAATATCAGATATTCCAATATTTTATTAGCCCGAAAGAGTTTGCTAACTTCATCCATTCAAATAAATTGGAGAAGGACCTTTTAGGAAAGCACTGTGTATCCTGTGTCCTTGCTTATGAATAGAATTTAACAATTTTTACTAGGGCCTGCTTTTTGTACCTATTCTTTAAATCAAGGGCACGTAAGGTTTTTGAAAGTTTTTAAAATAATTGTTTCTGAAAAATTGTTTTTTAATAATAATCAGGTAAACTATCATATCTAAAAGTGTATATTAATGGTGTTCAGCATTACGAAGTGAATGGCGCATGCTTTTAAGACATATGTTTAGCTATATTCCATATTTTTCTAAATCAACAGCAAAATGGGGATACCATTGAGGGTACTTCTCTCTAACAATATCAACTGGAAGACACTTAGTCTTCAATTAGCACATCAATGTTGTTATGCTGAATTTTTTCAAAAGTATCTTGCTTGGTCATTTACATGTCGTATAGAAGTAGTTCAAACTGTTCATGGAATATATTTCTTATAATACAGTGCTCTGTCTGAGGGTATGTCGGATTTTAATCCATGTGAACAGTTTGTATATATACCTATTGCAAAGTACAAACCTTATCTAGGTGTAGCGCATCTTGTCTATATTTTAAAGCAATGCCTGTGATCATATCTGCCATAGTGAGGTTTGCATCGTTCGGTGCAACTCTTGTCTCATACACATCTTCTACAAACACATGGAGATTCAGGATGCTGTCAGCCATCACGAGTTCTTTGAATTCGTTGTTGATCAGCCTTTGTGCTAAGTCTTCCAAATATTTTGCTCTTTCTTCTTTCCATCTAGAATGATATAAGCGAGAATGTATCCGATATTTTAAACTGATCTGCAGAGATTAAATGCTTTCAGTTTTACGATTTAAAAAATTTAAAGTGTTTCCAAACACAAAATTAACAAGATACAGCAATTCGTCGTTGATGAACGCAAAGCTCAAAAATTCTATAGCGACCCTTGAGAGACAACAGGTTTGCTCTCCTATGAGAAATTATGCAATACGAACTTGGGAAAAATGTGAAACAAATTAACTTATAACCGTCTATTTTTACTACTTTGGATATACCATGCTTTCCGTTATTGGAATTTTCAAGTAGCTATTTACAACTTTCCTTATTCCGCCCTCGAGCAGAGTTATCTGTTCTTCCAACTTTTTGATCTGTCTACTGAATCGTTCTTCTGCAGCTATGATGCTGAACCTTAATGATTCTAGAGGTACTGCTAGTTCCTCGTTGTAGAGTAGGGAGCTCAAATTTTGCAACTCCATGAAGCGAAATGCTTCTAACAGCTGTTCTGGCTCGGTAAAGTACAGATCTGGCGCCTCGTACTTCTCTGGGTCCTTGAACTCCTCAATGATGTCCGTCAGTGATATAGCTATATTAAAAAGATGAAATATTGAGAAGAAGCTTTCGCCATTCAACAAAGTAGAACTGGAATTCAGAAAATTTCTGTCACTTTCATGTTTTTTTTGTATATCTGAAGTCCTTTCCTCACTGACCAGTTTATTTATATATTTTGGATGAACACTTAAATGGCAACGTGATGCTAGTTGATTTTTCCAAGCAAGTTATATTCACTCTCACTTACTGGGTCTTTCCTTCAAATAAGATGTAATTCGTGTGGCAATAAAGAAATTTACTACGAACACATACATCAGTCTTTAAGATGATGAGAACAATAGATTCAGAAAAAATACGCGATATCAAATGTCGCCCTTTCGTCAGCAAACGACTAGACTAGGTAGATAAACCTATTTGTTAGAAAAAAGGGTTTGAAAAATCGAAAATGGTACATTATTATATCAATAGAAATCACATGTCATATTTAGCGTGATTTCCGAGATTTCTTTAGATTTGGCTCTCCCTGCTAAAACTTGCTTTTCCCCGCTCTCCAAAAAGATTTGTGAGCAGGTACACTTTCACAGAAAATTATCTCTTGCCCATGATCGGCCCTTCCTGAGAAAAATTTTTACGGCGCAGTTAAATCAAAAGTAGTAGATTCTAAAAAAAGCTCCCAATTTTCACAACACCGTGTATAAAAAATGATCACACTTTGGTCTCTTACCATCATTAGTTTCGGATCCTGCATCTTTGGGGGAAAAAGCTAGGGGATGTTCATTTCTATATTTTAATGGGCTCATCTGCAAACGTTTGTGCATCAAGTTTAATAATAATGATCAAACTGTATTGTAAGAAGTGGTGGAATACTTACAGTGTATAAAAATCTTTGGTACAACAGGCAGTTATGCCATCTCTCTTCAGAAATATACAGGGCTGTTCTGATGGACGCGCATTTTTTCATAATAGCTTTATGTTGTTCATACATTTCGTTTGCTTCTTCAGCAACGTTTTCGGACCTACGCAGTATTTCCATGGAGTCCGTATGGGAGCGAAACAAAAGTTCTGAAAATCACAATATACATCTTATTTTAAACTCAAAGATTTTGCCGTATCAATGAATATAAAATGACATCAAGTAGATTGACTCCACACCTCTCACTCCTTCGAAGCCATAGGCATCAAAGGGAACAATTAATGTTCTGTTGGAAAAAATGCTCAGATTACAGCAATGAGCGTGTCCAAACATAGTAGTGTTGAAAATGGAATGCTGGAAAACCCATTGACCATATAGTTCAACTTTAAATAGAAAAAATTCCTCAAGCCTCGGCATTAGGCATTTCATGATTTTCATATCAAGCATATTAGCCACAAAATCAATCAACCTCGTAAAATCACACTCCAAGCATAACATAACGATCCACTAAATATCCAAACAGCCCGATAACTTGGCAACCCCACTTTTTTTGTAGAAACGATTCAAAGATGAGTTTCAAAGTATCAAAAAAGCAATTTGTCGATGACATCGGATATTAACAAGACAAAAGGGGCAATATGCACGAATTTTAAAACCTCACTTTTTTTACCTTTCACTGTTACCAAAGACGCAACATTTACAACAACAAGGTAGCCAAAATCAAGGAGTAAAAATGAACACACTGCTGAGCTCCCTCCAAAACCTTCATCTGGACCCGCCAGTACAGTAGATGATCTGTGGTTAAAACCATTACCTTCAAAAATGCCAATATACCAGTGAAGTCTAGTCTTGATTTCATTAATCTCTTCTTGCTCGATGAGCAAGTGTTCTTCTAAAAGCATTAAATCATCTTCTCTGTAGCCAACAACAATCCGTGTTCTTAATGCTTCTCTGATTGTTGTTATATATTCGCGAACATTTAGCTTGTCAGCAACCGGCCGACCTAGAAAATAAGGATACTTTATTGAAAATTAGTCAATACGGTTATACATAGCTTAAAATGCATTTACTTTTCTGTGTATTTTGTTTTCTGATGCAGAGTTGTCCTATCTGTCATCGTGGAGTGTAAGATACTCGTACTCAGAAAATACGGCTATATTCTAGGAAAATTTTGTAGCGTCAATAATACAAACCGCCACCACTCTACGGGTAGCATTTCATCTTCATAGATAGCGTCATGGCATCAAATGACGTGGTATGACGACATATCTGTACATTTACCCTATTACAAGTTTACCTTCCACATCAGTGAAAAACTTAGGATCGACATCCAAAACAGATTTTGGTTCAAATGGCAGTGGCTCATCTTCAACATACACCCTCCTCAGTATGTCCCTTCTGGCTCTGGTCCTGTGATCAGGTTTTTTCGAACACTTCACCCCCAATTCCTTCAGATGTAGCTCTTTTCTCCAAGCTTTCGTCATCACACCATGGGCGAACTTCTATAACAACAAAATTAGTCTTCTTCAAGATGTACTTCTAATTGAGTATGTTATCTTTTATTCATGTTCTTAATCACCAATAAGGTAGGTGGAAAATAACATATAAGCTGTTATTATCTTGTTTACTGAATAAATAAAACAAACAGCATTTTTTTTCATTTCAGTTTCCACGTTATAACGGGTGATTTTTTAGGATTTGATTTTCAAAAGAAACACAAAAAATTTAAAAAAACGATTAAATCTTTATTTTGAGTCGATAGAACGGTCGATATAATTTAATGTTTAAAGATTATTTCATGTAAATATTGTTCGCGGTTCCGCTTTAGATGGCCCATGCGCAAGGTCCAATTTTGGCACACTCTCTCCAACATATCGGCCGGTATCTCACGAATAAATGCTTCAATATTGGCTTCCAGTGCGTCAATCGTTGCTGGTTTATCCCTGTAGACATTAGCCTTAACATGGCCCCACAAGAAATAGTCCAACGGCGTTAAATCACACGATCTAGGCGGCCAATTGACGGGCCCCAAACGTGAGATAAACTGTTCACCGAACTCACCTCTCAATAGGGTCATTGTTTCGTGTGCGGTGTGGCATGTGGCACCGTTTTGTTGAAATCACATGTCAGCCAAGTCCAGCTCTTCCATTTTGGGCAAAAAAGAGTTTGTTATCATCGCACGGTAGCGCTCGCCATTCACAGTTACGTTCCGGCCATTGTCGTCTTTGAAGAAGTACGGCCCGATGATGCCACCGGCTCATAATCCACACCAAACAGTGATTTTTTCGGGATGCATTGGTAGCTCTTGCAATGCTTCTGGCTGGTCTTCACTCCAGATGCGGCAATTTTGCTTGTTAACGTACCCATTCAACCAGAAATGAGCTTCGTCGCTGAACACAATTTTTCGATAAAAATGTGGATCTTCCTCCAACTTTGCCAGCGCCCATTCACCAAATTGGAAACGTTGTGGGAGGTCGTGTGGCTTCAACTCTTGCACCAGCTGTATCTTGTAAGGTTTTACACCCAAATCCTGTCACAAATTTTTCCACGTAGTGGAGTAACAGAGGCCCAATTGCTGCGAACAGCGGCGAATCGACATTTCACGGTCATCACTAACACTGGCGGATACAGCCGCAATATTTTCTTCAGTCCTCGCTCTACGTCTGCGTGTTGGTGGTTTAATGTCCAATAATGTAAACTGGGTTCGAAATTCACAAGCTTCCGAATAGCTGCCTCAGTAGGCCGACCAAATGGCCCATAAATTGGAAGCAGTGCTCGATGCACTCTCTTAACCGAGCATGAATTTTGATAGTAAAATTCAATAATTTGCAAGCGTTCTTCATTCGTAAGTCGATTCATGGTTAAATTGTAGGCCAAACTGAACAAGTTTGACAATGACACAAGACACGATTCATTACATTCATAATTTTATATTGAATACACGTACTCAAATTGATACAAAAATGGCATAATAGCTGTTACCAATGATAGCAAAATCCAAATATCCTAAGGCCGTGACAACGATTCTGACCAGTTCTAGCCCTTGGATCATTACCAATTGGCAGCTATGCTTGTTGCGCTATTAGGGTTTATGGAACAAATGCCAATTTTCTCAAACAATCTAGACAGCAAATGCTACAAACTAACAATTACCAGTTAGTACGAGCTGGTATTGGAATAGGACAGAATGAGAAAATTGTGAAACATAAACGAAATGTCTGGTGCGGATGGGATTCGAATCGCCGGTGCCGACGATAAAATTCGTTAGAAACTCGGGTTCAAAGGTACATCCGTCTCAGGATGTTACTCTACTGTGGATGACATTCAAGTATGGAAAGTGTCATCATATTACAAAGACTAACATCTCACAAGATAATTTATGTGAATAGGAAGTCTTTTTTTAATCGTCTATGCATCAACTTTGTACTCGTAGTCTTGTACGTTCGTCATAAATACGAGTATATTATTCAAAATCGGTTAAGTTGAAAATATAGTATTTTATAAGATGGGTTCTACCGATATTTCACCAATTTCTTACTTTCTTCACAAGAGTCACTAGTTATCGAAGTCACAATGGCAACGGTGTTAGTTTTCGTATATTCGTTTTATCACCGATTTAAAAGATACGGCCCCTGGTCAAAAAAGGATATCTACTCGTACTATCCACAAGCAGTACATACCTTGAAGTCATCTGGATACCTATAAGGCGATGGCTCCTTTTCCACTTTGATAGAATTTTTCTCACTCACAAACGAAGCTTGTGTAAATGGTTTTGTTTTCAAAAGTTTTCTACATTTGACTTTGGCCTTTCTTTGAGGCGGTGCTTTTATCTTAAATAAGGCAGCTTTGACATCTTCAGCTGGCGCTAATTCATCTTCAGACAAAAGTTGCCCAAAACCTGGCATATGTGCGGTTACTTCATCGATCTCCTGCATATTTGGTACTTATGTAGGCTAGTTCTGAAAATATATGCTAGAAAGAAAAATATTGGAGTATATTATATGGATATATAAAATAGACGTTTGCGTTACGAATAGCCAAACAAGGAACAATCAGAAATCCACCAGAAATCAGTTAAAGTCACAAGACAGTTTTGTCAATACTTCTATAGTAACGTAACTATACCTGTCTAGAGTGATGACCCAGAAATGAAAGGTGTTATTTTAGATTGGTATTACAACAGCTATGGAGATTTCGAAGACGTGGTGCGCTTTTTACTTACTCCAGCCAAATACAATCCACGAAGCTGAAAATTGGTACGTACCTTAACTATTATACACTGTTACGAATAATGTGTCAAATGTCCTCATGGATTCGTCTAGCAGAACATTATTTTATTAGCAGAATATCACTTTTTCTCATATTTCTCTTAAATGGTAAGAATAATCACGAAACTTTAAAAAAAATTTGGGGCATTCAATTTTCGATACCGTTTTTCACATACTTTCATATTGTAGCACCTGCAACTTGTCTCGTAGTTATCATGCTGATATAATGCCACTTTTTTGTCTGACCCCTAAATGAAACGACATGTATTCGAATTCCTTCTTATAACTGAAATATATTGACATCGTCAGTTAAGTTTTATGTTGAAAAAGGCCACCGTGGTGACCAAAACGATAGTAAAAATGGATTCAAGTAGGTACGCAACGCCGCCATCAATAAAATAAAGAACTAAGTTCAGTTAAATACTTCCTTGCTGTGCAGGAAGTAAAAAAAGAATTCAAACATATGTGGTTTCATTTGCTCGGCAGACAAAAGCTTGGGCGTAGAATTATTTATCATAATATCAGATCATAGTCTAAAGCTCAGAAGTTTAATGATCAGTTGTTACGCTTTTTTGGTTTTACTCTATGGTTGCCAAAGTTGGTTATTACGGTTGTTACGAATTTCCTAGGTTCAAAAGCTCACTAACGATTAAGTACTCCAGTCCATGAGTAAACAAACAGAGATGCTAAGCACAATCAAAGAAAAAAATCAATGATTTAGCCTTGTGTTGAGAATAGAGATGGTCGATGTGGTTACTTTTGAATATCTGTGATATTTGATACCGTCACTTTTTGATATCAGTGATTTACAAGCGTGACGTGACTACAACTTATAGGTACAGTAAGATGTAAAGCCATAAAGACACAAGTGGATAACAGTGTCATGTAACAAAATCATTATATGGAGAAAATTGACTTTAAAAATTTTTTATTGGAACTTTTTACTTTATTGAAAATTTAAATATTTAGTTTAATTAGTTTATTGTCTTGTTTTGCAACAAAGGAGTCACACTCTTTAAAGCCATTTAAAAAAAGTTATATAACACCTTTATCCAATTTATTGTTTTTTATATCACTTAAAATTTGTCAGGGGTTTTGTGTGCTATATTGTCGTATCGTGTGTAGTGGCATACAGGAAATGGTATTTTTAGTAAAACTTGAGAAATAAGCATAATTGAACTTATACGTGCTTATAATGAGTAATTTGTAATTTGGGCAGCTAACTAAATCATCTCGTGGCCGGCTAATACTAATATATGAGAAAAAGACTAAGGGTAGTAGTTATAACTTTTATTATGAGCAAAATACCGCGATAAAATCGCATGATTTGCACTATAGTTGCAGTCATCGTTCTTGGCGGTTACGTCATCAACGCCATACGAAATAAGTAAACAGATCGATTCTGTGCCATAGACGAAACACTGTCCAGACTAATTTTCAGCGCATCGGCTGCTCTCTCCAGTGCGCATGAAGTGGGTAACAGGGGATCGCTGTTTTCATTCTCTTCCTGGAAATACCCTAATAAACTTAGCATAAGCTGTCGGCCTTCTTCATTGATCGTATTTCCGGGCATTTTTATAGGGAAGATTGATAATAAGACAACTCGAATTGCACGCTGATGTCAAAAAAGTTGTCACTCTGAGAAATATGATTGTAGTGCGCTCATACTTAACGACAAAGTTTTCAAGGCGGAGACGCAATTAAAAAATGTATGTCTGTGAGCTTATGGTACAAACGTTCACACAGGGGTAAGTTGCTTGTGTATGTATGCGGGAGATAGAGATATATAAAGGGATACTGATAGTGTTACTTTGACCCGCCAAGAACGGTGAGTACAACTATACCAAAACTTACAAGGCCACTTACCACAGCCGACGTCAACTACTGTGCTATCACCTAGAGCTTAAGAACGTCTCAGGTACATTCAAACATTAGCTCCGATCCTGTGATACCGTTCGCCGTTGCCGTAAAGTGCTTAGTTTCTCGAGTCGTGATCAGCACGGGTATTACGTATCTTGAAAAGTGACATTATGTCGATTTTTTTAACATTATATGGGTTTTTTGTGACATTATGTAGCTTTTTCTACAAGATGTTAACTTAGCACTAGCTGATGGACAGGTTATGAACTCGTTTTGTAGTTGTACGTGTTGCTTAAACGTCATGACGCTTCCGTTGTCAATTTTTGTCTCTCATATAACGTAAAATCTGCTTTAGAGATGGCATTACTGGAGGTAACGGCAGTGCATAGTGAGGATTTGTGTGCTAATAATATGTTGATAATTCCATTAGATTCTTGTCTCGAATACACTTACCTGAGATTCAAAGCTAGAAATTAGTTGCGCATCCGATTTTTCTTATCCATTCTGGAAATTACATATGCAAATTTGCTGAATTTAAAAAATGAAACACTGTCGAATTACAAGTTATATATATGCTAACAGTAACTACATACAACGCGGGCACGATGGTGATTTCCCGTAATTGTTCTCAATGTATTTGAAAACACAAAAAACATTAATGTATAACTTTGAAGATAACCTGTCTTTAGAAACGTCAACATATAAATAACCTGCCGGGTACAGCTAATAGATATACTTCACTGGCAGCATATTCAGTAATGGTTTTCTTACACAGAAAATATCACTGATTTTAGACACTTGGAGACCTACACACACAATCATCCAGATGCAATCTTGCTATTCAACCAACTTTCTTCTCAGTGATGAAAACTATAGACTACTCGGCTTCACCAAACATATGCAACCAACAATGCGTGTGGACGTGTAGTTGAGACATTCCTCCATAGATGGACGCTCACAACGACCCTAGTGAACAAACGGGGAATTACTGTTTGCATCCTAAAAACTAGTCTGCAAGATGACATTTTATGTTTTTTTGGCGTCTGTAGGCTTTCTACATTATACCGGCACGGGTATTATGGAGAAAATGTCAGCTGCACAAATATTATTGAGGCTATGTTGTCTCTTACTGTGCGTTTTTAGAATCTATATGGTACCTTCAAACTGTTGCTCATCGTTGAAACTAAACGGACTTATAGCGTCCCTCAAATATCTTCTTGCCACAACCTGAATTGCAGGTGATTGTCAACTAGGGGGCAACTTTGATAGCCAGCCACCATGAAACGGTAAAAGCATTGAGGGTTTCTCAAGTATCAAGGGACCCTGAAGTGATGTTTGTGAATCTCACTCTGTATCACAGTTCGTGAAGTGTCTGCCACCACTAGTTGAGAAGTGTCTATTTTGTTTCATAATAGAGGCAAAAGATCAGTTGGTAGAGACCAACTCCTGGCTAATGGTCCTAAGGAGGTGGTTTGGCCGCTCTTCCACAGAATATTTTTTTTCGCGGTTTCTAAAACTACAATTGCCAAGCGGCTCGCCAACCCGTTTAATCCAGTGAACGAAGATCCAATGCAACCAAGGGAGAGTCCAATTTCTGTATGTATGCATGCCTGGGCGGTACGTTTTTGCTTCCATTATAGGTCACCACGGTCTATTGCTTGCTTATTCCACAGATCTTCCAGTAAATGTTACTGATTATTCGATGGGTAGATAAAGAAATCCTAGGTAATCCAGGAAAATCAGAGGAGATCCAAAGACATATGAAGATCTGCAAGGGGTTCTAAGGGATCAATATCACCGAAAGCAACTTGTGACCGCAGACCGACAAGTGTTCCCACCAAAACGACGGCAACCAGACAGTTATTCAACGGTTTCTGGCACAGCCGTCATTAGTTAGTTTTGAGTCGTCATCTGTGAATTCACTGTGGCACTCCAGGTAACGCTCCGATCATATCCTCAAATAAGCATTGATAATCTGATGAAAGTAATTCTCCATCTCCATCTCCAAGAGCATTGCATTGCTGAAACCCTACAGGAAAGCTACGGTTGATTCAACAATGGTGGTGAGCATCAACCAAGAGTATACAAAAAACTAAATTAGTATGACAAACTTCTACTCACATAAACATAACACCCACCGAACTCAAGAACACAAACGCGATGGCGAGTTGCTTGCGTTGTTATTTTGACAATGCACTTTTTTACTTCGGTCGTCGACTTTAGAATTATAATACGAGCTCTCGGCAAAACGTGAGTTTTCAAGTAAAAAGAATATTATTTTCATAATTTTTTTACTGTTAATAGATATATGGCAGTATTATGGTACTAAAGAGAAAATATACTTTATTTCCGTTTTAGCTGAAATATCGGTAGTGTTCCCAAGAAAGACCGTGGTTCCTCATAAGGCCGATGGAAAAATTGACAGTTGGTCTTAATAGAACTTTATGAGAAACATCCAGGAACCACAAAAATATTAATATTTAGTTTTAAGTTGTAGGGGAAAGTCGGGTATAATTGTACCACCTCATCATTTACGGAATTGTAGAAGTCTAACAGCATCTGAAGCAGTCTGGACTCATAAGGATCGGACCTATAAAGCGAGGTCATTTTGGTGGGTTTATTTTTTTTAATCCATCATAAAGGTTATTGATATCGATCACATTTGTTGAGCATTTTTTATGAGAATATATTATTGTAAGTATTTAATGTTATATTTTAATGAAAGACCTTATTGTAAACAAGTAATATGAGCAGATATAGATATAAGTTGTACCGATCTTGTAAGGAACCTTGTTTGGAAAAGCTTAATGAAACTCGAATCCAGTAAATAGTGATTAGGTCTGCAATAAAAAGATCTTATAAGTTACATAATGAAGCAAAGTATTACTTAATAACTTGTTTGTTTCATTTATCCAGAAAGTAAAGGGATAAAA